CGAAATATTGCGCGTATGCTAAAAATCGATTTTGTTAAGTTTTCACAATTAATTATTTTTTGTTTGATAATGATTTGCTTAACACTTTACCTCCTTCAAGAATAATAGTTTTTGCATTTTTTAAAGTAATCTCGTCTATCATTTCACTCATTCCATCTCTATCGTATTTTCCCATATAATAAGATTTATCAAACTCGGGATATACCAAACTAACTTTGGGATTCTTCTTTATAACTATTTTCCCAGTGTCAATCTTTTTATCTTTATCCTATGTTTTATATTTAAAAAGTTATTATTATTATTATACAACAAAATATTTCAATTCAATATATGTACATACCTCAACTTTTATATTGAATTGCATTTCATCGAAATCCAATGGAGACATTGAAATTAAAGAAGCTGTATGCACTTTCTTAAGTTCACCAGTTGTTCCTACATATTTTATATCAAGAAATTTATTAGACTCAATTGTAAAAGTAAGTTTTGTATCTGTATAATCCTCGTCTTTAGCCATGATGATGCTTCCAAAACTATCCAGGGGGAATTCTGCAGGGAACGGCATCGGTAAAATAATTTCAAAAACAGGTTTATCAACCTCTTGTTCATCAACAAATCTTGGTTCATAATTATTTGTATCTTGAATCTTCATATTTACAGTCTGAAAATTCAATTAATTAAATTTGGTTGAAAAATTTAATATAGTTTATTAATTGTACTTTTCCAGAGCATTCTTCATTAGAGAAAGCTACATTGAAACATATAACTGCAAGAGAGTCTTGGTTCGGCATAGTTTCTTCCCAATTACGCATATTTTGTGTAATAAATAGCAGCTTATTTTCGTTAACTTCGTGACGAACAATTTCTATTCCATTGCACATAGATACCTTAACATCATTTGCTGAAATATAATATTTTAAGAATGTGTTATTAACTAAACGTTCTGTTTATATACCAGTAAATGCAAAGTCGGTTACTTCTAAGATTTTAAAATCGTCTTGATCTGTTATATCGTTTACATCTTTCATAGAGCTCCAATCACCACAATCACCATCATCTACAATGTATATTTTTATTAATCATGTTAATATTTACTTGTATTTTAACAGGTACTTTGGGCATATAAAGGCATATGCCTTAATATGAAGAATAACCACAGCACTATCCACCGCATGTTTCGATAGACTAAATGTAATACACTACGAAATAATACGACTAAGCTTCAGTATCAAAATATAAAATTTATCAAACGATATCTGGCTTATCACTTATCTGATAATAAATATAGATGAAGGGCTAGTTGGCAATATATTTTGAAGTTTCCAATTAATACTAACACAATTACTTTATTTTCAAATTGAACTTGAATTTTACATTGCTAATGAACAATTATTCGTCACTTTTGGAAATATTTTGTTTGCTGTTTCTTACAGCTATGCGCGGAGATAGATTTAACATGCTGGCCCATTGACCATCGCACAGCAAATCAAAGTCCATGTCTTTCAGTTCTGATCCACCCAAATTTCCAGGTCCTCTGCAAGTCGGCTGTGCATCCCAAACTTTGTTCTTATTGTCGCGAATCCATCTACAACAAAACCTATTAACTTCCATTCTACATACCGAATTCTCGTCTTACACTTACAAAGCTAAATAAAGTATATGACAATCGCAATGCCAAGGATTCTTCGATAACTTTATTAGCATCAATTTTTCCAAATAGTCTAAAGATTTAGTAGGTAAAAATTGATATTTGTTACTGTCTAAATGCCTGAAATATTCACCATTTATAAAATGTTTTACAAAATATGGTATATTTACAATTTCTTTAATTTTGGTGTATAAAAGAATAAAGTTGCTTCTATGGTTTTTAACAGATTGTTGTTAAGCATTAGAGAATTCAAATTATCTAATCCATTGAAAGTTTTTTCCGAAAGTTCTTCTAAATTGTTTGAATAAAGAAACAATTTTTCTAACAATTGCAAATTAATGAAAACCTCTTCTGGTAATTCCGATATGAAATTTTGCCCAATATTCAATTCCTTTAAATTCTTTAAATTAACAAAATCCAACGGATGTATCTATAAATAAGTACACTTTAGTGATATATGAAATACGCAATTTTTATTCCTACCTGCACTAAGCTATTGGCACTCAGTTGTAGATTAGTCAAGTTGTGTAAATTAATAAAAAGTCGCTTAGAAATTGAGGACAATTTATTTTTTCTTAAATTTAGTAACTCGAGACTGTGTAGATTGTCGAAAACTCCTAAAAATTGACCATAAGTTTTTGTATCATGAAAATTATGATTTATTGATACCTGATGGTAAAATTTCCAAATTATTTTCTGCTAGATTTAAACGTTTCAAAGACCACAAATCTGCGAAAATTGTTTTGTTTAGTGTTATAAGTTCGTTAACACTCAAATCTAAATCTTCCAGATCCTTCAGTTCGTTAAAAATTTGGTTTGATAAGTAAGCAATTTTGTTTCCGGATATATGTATAACAATTAAATTCTGACATCCTTCGAATAATTTATCGGGTAACGAAAGAAATTTGTTGTTTGATAAATCGATGGTTCTAAGATTACGCAACTTCAGAAATATGTTATTCGGAAGTTCATCCAAATGATTTTTGTGCAATCTCCTGAAAAATACAGCATTAAACGAAATCAGATCAATTAAAATTATCTGACGCACAAATAAAGTAAATTATCTAAATTTTCAAAAATGTTGTCGGGTAGATAATCAATTGCGTTATCGAACAGGTCTATTTCGGTGAGGTGATTCAATACTTGAAACGTCTGCTGATTCAGTGTGCTTAAATGGTTGATGCCCAAGTCTCTACAAGGAAACGATCATTAGAGATCCGATTAATACGAGATGTTTTAACGATTACATGGTTTTAATATCGTTGGGCACAAATTGCTCAATTGGTAGTTTAGAAAGATTAGAGTTCCAGCAGCTAATGCTTTTCGTTTCTGGCCTACATTTGCAAGGTCCTCTGTCGGCGCAATTGAACCACCTATCGTTCGAATTCTCAATGAACCACACTAAAATGTTGAATACAATCAATAAAGATACGGACGATAATGCGTAAACAATAAAATTGTTTGGCAATTCGCTATTGATAATAAAAAATAAATTATTTGATTTTGCAATTAGAGAAATAGTTATATTTACGGTGTTTATAAGTAAAATACCTGGTTGTTCTAAAGATCGAAGACGTCGCTCCAACTTGAGCATTGATTTCCTCGTTTCCAATTCGAAATTTTCAAATAATCTTTGAGTCTCATTTTTCAACTTATCCCAATCCAAGCTACATTCACTATTGTTAACGTAATTTGTAGCCGAGGCACAACTGAAAAGGAGTATTATTAATATTCCAGACATCGCTGAGCAATATCTTGAACGTATACTATCTGCGTATATAGTGGATGCAAATTGAACTTATCCTGTTGTTAAATAATTTTAGCCAATGTAATCGAATTAGTTAAGGGAATTATGTAACTCATTACCCACTCCCTACTGAAAATTAAAAAAAAAATGTCTATTTTTGTTTGTTCATGTAACCAAGCAATGATCTGTCGGATTAATCAAAAACACGCCGTGTCATCGTATTTGCAACGGACGGAATAGCTATAGACCATGAATTTGTCGCCTCGTTGGAAGAAAATTATAGCTCCCACTCCGGAGAAACTTGCACCTAATACTTACTATGTTACTGATGATGGAAAATTTTGCAAAAGTTTCTCAAAGTAATTAATGTTTCGGTATTGATAATTAATTATCAATATTTTCTAGAAAATTGGGTTCCTTTCATGCAGAGTTCGGAGAAGAAGCTATCAATAATTAATAAAGTCTATACAGAAGCAATTTATGATGGAGTTGACAAACATCGGATTGTCGTAAGATATTTACGTTTCTTTTCTTCTCACATTTAACATTAAACACATTGTTACCAGAAAATGATATAGTGAGAATACTTTGCGTATTATATTACAATCTGCTAATTACATTTTTTCCTGCAAATTTGAATCAGCTAAATAAATGCTATCTAAAGATTACTTAAAAATGAACAAAATCCGACTCTCGATATATAAAATATAATACAATAATAAAATGTTATCTGTTGATTCTAATATGAATTCTACTTAATCAGTTTAAAAATCTATAATCTGATATCAATGTTTAAGTTTAACATATCTCGTATATTAGTAAATATTATTCAATCAATGATGTTTTATATAATTACATCAATTCATTTCACTTTTATTTGACTATTGAAATTAAAAATTCAAATGAGTTGTGTTTATTGTAATCAATATTGTTTTTAATAAAATCACTGTTAAATTATTTTTTGAAGGGAGGATCAACTCTGCGTAATAAGGCTATAAGAGAAACAAAAGTATTGTCGGATAGTCCAGGACCCGGGACCTACGATCCGAAACCTATAAGGAAAAAGATACCAAAAGTTTTATCAAAAACCGCATTTAAAGGTAGACGATTGTACGTATGTCCGGTACCGTATGCATTGGAGGATTATGGTCCTTCGATTCCAACAAGAATCGATGAGAATGGGTACGATATAAATGAGAATGATAAGTTAGAGAAAATACCAGCAAATAAGCATGATACTACAATGGGCCCAGCTTATTACAAAGTATCAACGGTAATGTAAAATGTGATGGGTGTAAGGAAAGACTTTAAATCATTGTTTTAGGCTTGCACGACGACGGAAATCTACAAAGGTTGTACATTTTGGAAGAGCGGTAGCAGACGTGGAATGAAATATGAATCTGATACTCCCTCTCCCGGAGAGTATGATGCCCGCATCAAGAAATTATTCAACGTTAGAGATGAGTACGTTCGAGAGATGGCGCGATTATATAGTTACGTACCACGGTTCGTCGATGCTGAACAGAAGAAGCAGATCCGCGCGGTAAATTGTTTGAAGTAGTTGGGACTTTGGTCGATAGATGCGAAAAAGAACGCTCGCAGCAAAATATGTAATTCTATAAATAATTGCATTCCTTAAATGAAATAGATTTAATTAGATTCGTGGGCGGCCCGAAGATGATTCATTTTTAGTCCCGCAACCGGATTTTCAATTAGCGTAGCTAATTTAACTCTAATTCTGTTTCTTGCAGGATATGCCTGGTCCGGCTGCTTATACAATGCCCGAGAAGATTTCAAAGAAATCTCTGAGCCTAAATCCTGCACCGTTCTGTACACGCAAAGAGAGATTTCAGAGTAAATTCGAGGAAAACCCTGGCCCAGCTAAATATGATATAAGGGCGAACGTTATTCGGAATTCATTTTCATTGAGCGATGCGCCGTTTTCCATCAATAGTAATCGGTTTATAACGAAAAAGGTATTGCCTACGCCAGGTAATATTAACTTTTCGCTGTTAATAATCCAACGAAATTGAACCGCATCGAAATTAATAATCCAAGGTCCCGGAAACTATTACCTCGAGAGTCCAATTATCGAAAAGCTATTGAAGAAGATGAATCTTCAAGCTAAGAACATCCCATTTAATCATACCTTGGAAAGAGAGGTTGTGCATCTCAACAAAGATGTCTTGAGTTTCCCAACCGCATCTGCATATACCGTGGAACCGTACGAGATGGAAAAGTCGAACATAGATGCGGCCGTGTTCAAATCGAAAACAACTAGATTCGTGAAAAGCAAAGCAGCTGTGAGTATATCTTGTTCCTTTTCATCTTCCGAAAAGGAGCATGAAAATATGTTCTTAAATATATACACTTTCATCCGAACGGCGGCAGGTTTAATATAAGAATTGGGTGGCTTAAAAATAACGTCGGTTTAATTGAAATGGCTTCCAACATTATATAAACATATGTAAAAAAGAAAATATATTTATTTGTGCGCATGGATGTGGATGTCACGCCGTCGAATGGAGCGCTCCATTAAAATACCGGATTTATAGTAGTTTTAATTTTATTACGGCCAAGATCTTAGATGAATGACTTTTAAACATTTCGCCCCAAAGTGAATGAACCTTTAACGATTTCATAAATTACGACACGCAAATAGACAGCAATATTTGCAACATTCCACGAACATAAACCGATACAATTACTTCCGATGGACATCCTCTGTTCATAATCTATGTTTCCTTATTGTTACTCAACAGTCGATTCTAATGGAATTCTGCTTTAAAATTAATTCTCTTAATTAGCGAGAGAGCAGCAATCGAATTCACCAAATTTAAAGATACCATCTTTACTAAATGCATGTAACTGCGACCATTCGCTTCGAGATTTAGATAAGTCATTAAGGCCGACTCCTCGCTTTTAGTTATATGCAAATATTAGTTGTCGCTTTTTTTTTGTTCCTGTCTGGTGAAAGGACTAATTGACAAACGCTTCGTTCTAAAAATCGATGAGTTTCGAAGTGGAGATATGCAACATAATGTTGCAGCGATCCCAAAAAGCGAGCGGATACTGTTTAGCATATTGCATAAAGTTCTCATTCATCTTGCTCCCGTTCAATTAGCGATGAAGACTTTCGCAAGGGCACAGTATAAATGATCTGGATTCAGCGCAATCAGCACTTTGATTAAGATGTATCGCAGCAGCAAACAACACGGAATCCCATCGAGCCGTAATGAGATTGACAAAATTAACAATTCTTCACAAATAAATCTTTCACGCTGTGTATGTTTTTTGGGTGTATGCTACATGCTCCGGTTCTTTATTTTAATTGCCTTCCACTCCGGTTCACTTTCATGCATTTACATGTATTTTAGGCTCTTTTCTTTTATTATTATACTTTTGTTGTCTACTCTTCCAATCCTCTGCTTCCCACCCACACACACATTAATTCGACAGCCGAACGTTATTTCAATCGACCGATGCAATCAGTTAATGTTTCTTACCTTTTTATCGTAGATACTTTAATTATAAGTTTTCTTTTTATTCAAATCAACAGTTATTTAACAAACGATTCGTTTTCATGGTTTTATTATGTCCACTTACGTACATAAAGGATTATGAGAAACATAAACATAGTTCAATTCATTTTTAACTTCAACTTGAATGATTTCAATTCAATATATAAAATAACTATAAAAGTTAATAATACTATGATGTATTGTATTGTATTTATAGAAAAATAATGAGTTTCTACGCTTGAAAAATAAAACTATAGTTAAATAACAACAAAAAAAATATTATTTCAGTAAATATCATGAATACTACTGTTATTTCTATTAAATATGTTAATAATATAAATATGTTCCCTATACAATTAAGCAAGTATGGAAATACTAAATTATTTAATGTCATAGTTGTGATTCAACTGATTTTTTTGATTTATGATGTATATAGACTGTTCTCTTGCATCATGAATAAACCATATCGGTTTCTCGTATCAGAAGACAAGCATGTCAACTCATTTACCCTCTCTATTATATATTTTTTGAGCTATAATGTGTGCCCATTCATAGATACTTTAAATTTTACGAAGACGTATGCAAACAAATCCAAAAATGTATTATAATACTAAGATCGAAATGATATTTTTATTCTGATTATTGAAAAATCTCTGATTTAATCATTCATAAAATCTAACTGAATGATTTATTATTAAGTTTAAGAAAATTTGATAAAAATAATATAAAGCTTATTTCATTTTCTATTATTATTATCGTTTATGTAAGGGAAAGATATAAAAAATTACCAACAAAATATTTATTACGTTAAAAAAATTAATTAATGTACAGTTTTTATATTTATTATACATCTTATAAAAGTAAAGAGTAAAGCATATTTGCTGGAATTGTACTTGGATAGTTTAAACGGAAACAAATTGTAATTAAAAATAATAGTTTATAGAAATTCAAAAGTTGAATGTTAGTTAACAACGTGATTAAATATTACGTATTCTGAAATGAATGAAACGGAATGATCTGTAATTTTCGTTGATTGTAAATTACTGGTTTCAACAGGAATACGTGGAATTCAAGCACTGAATTATAATGAAATAATTTGATGAAGGTGACCATCATGTGTACATACGTATATATATTTGGAATTAGCGAATAGATAAAATTGATTTTAATTTGTCGGTTGGTTACAAATTAGCGAAGGGGCTTAACGATTGTTTAATATTATGCGATAGATAGTATTTTCGTTCTGCGCGTCCGTTCGGATGCATTCGGTGAAATTTATATTTCTGTTCTGCGCCCGTATTTTCCGCTTGCGATTCCAAACTGTAACACTATCCGGTTAGAATAATGTTACATGTAAATTCTAATTAGGCGTAAGTAATTTAGTTTAATGAGGGCATCGGGCGCACGCAGGGTTGTTTCCCCGAAATCAGTTTCCTTCACATACATTACAAGTAAATATTGGTACGGCTCACGCACGTGCATGCATGCATTTCGGCCCTAAACTGCATGTGACAGGACTTCAGATTCAGAATGCTAAAACAAATGCATGCATGCATTAATGGACGAATGGATCGAATCATTTTTTTTTCGATGGTAAACAATGAAGGTATTATGATAATGCTCAAGTTAGCTCAGGGTTTGACGATCCGATCCGGTGGTCCTGTCTCTTTGATTCCTATTCAACATTTCTTATTTGCATCAATACAAACTGGTTAAATAAAGATCAACAAAGAATAATTTTAATTTTCAATTTTTCATGAAAATTCTATTAAAAATAAGAAATCCAATTAAAATCATAAAAATTGTTCAAATCTTAGTCACTTAATTTTTAGTTACAGTAATAATTTTGTTTACTCTTCTAAATAAATGCTTTTCTTTTAATATATAATTCTATATTTAGGTCAAGAGAATAGTAATCAATTGTCAATTCCTATTTTTTTGAATGATGTTAACGTAATTAGGAAATAAACAAACTATAAATTAATTTTATATAAATCATTTGCAAATCATTATTTCTCATTTAATTTCATCAATATCCAGCATTATTTGAAACCGGACTAATTAAGACATTAATATCGCTTAAAAATAATCAAATACCACCAACAATGTAAAAACACTTAGATATATACTTTAGAAGATTAAGAAAATAGTAAATATTCTAATTATTAAGTACTTAATAGTAATGATAAATAGTTAATTGTATTTACGGATTATTAAAATTGTATATTCAATTGGTACATTTTAATTTAAATAAATGCAAAAAAACGAATCGCCATGAATCATCACGAAGAATCAAAATATTACAAAAATACAATTAATATACTTATGTTTTACTGAAGTCCAAAGCGTAATAAGTGCTTACACTTACGTATTGCCACTAGATTGGATATCTTTAGATATTTATGGTCAATTGAAAGAAAGATTATAATTAGTATTTTAAATTGCTTTATAATAAAAAAAAATGATGGGTGTTCCTTATAATAGGAAATCTTATGTCCAGAGGTTTTTACTAGAAATTATAGGAAAAATTAAAGGTTATTAATATTTAAGTAAATAAATTTAACAAAAATCTACAATATTATTTTTTTCCATTAATCATCATATTATTGATGTGTAATAATTAAAGCCGCTTCCTTTGCACTTGCGGACCATTCCGCATTGCCACTAGATTTGATATAAGATATATCATAGTTGTTTATAAGAATTAACTTATTCAAATTATACTTTGCTTAGGTGCAAATAACTAAAATTGTTTACTCTAAAACATATGATTAGATATTTGTTAGAGGAATTGTACCACTCTTGCAGATGGCAAAGAATATGGATATATAATAAAGTTGAGGTTAGTGGGTTAGCGTTGAAGTGGTCTTGGTCCCGTGGACCCCTGTTGGCAATTTCTCTTTAAACTTTTAGCGAAGAGAAATGTGTCGGGCCTTCGAAGAGTTTCCTTGCTCCGTTTCCCTCCTCTACTGCTTGCTCTCTGTGGGACTTCTAAAAAATGAATGGCCATTGTGTTGGCGGACGTTACATATTTTTCTTTTAAAAATATAACACCGGAAATACGGTTGCGCTTCAATATCAAGAAACATTTGCTGCGGAAGCACCGACCACAGCTACACACATCATTTACAGTTATTTATTGAATGCAACGCCTTAATTATTTTTTCCTCTTTGTTTGATAAATAAACGCGAGTCTCGGTTGTCACTCACACTGCCAGCATACATAATCGAGGTTTATTAATCGCGTGCTGCTGCAGCATCCTTCCACAAAACTTAATTACATTGACAGCACACACTCAGACAGACTGTTTTCTTTTATCTCGTTCTCCTTTTACAGTCTCACAGTAAAAACAATAATTACCGTGTACACTCATACACTTTGGAAATTCCATTAATATAATTGCATGCATATAATCTTTAGTCTTCTTCTTATAACATATATTATTCAAATTATTAATACATCTTACTTATTTATATATGAATAATCATTCAAATCATTCAATAACAATTTTTTTAATTGCATAGCAAAACATCTGTTGTCTAGTTTAAAAATAAATTCTATATGTTTCTTTTTTATCTTACAATAACACTTAAAAACATGCAACGCAACTTATTTTCTCAGCATTTACAAACTGTATGGTATATTGTAATTGTCGATTTTACAAATTGCTTATATATACAATAATTATTAAACCGAAATCATAATATCATTCAATTAATTGATTTAGTAAGGTTTAACTAATATTTTTTTGTAATCTCATTATAATTACTGTTTCATCAAAGTAAAAACAATAATTACATTACTCTTTAGAAATCAATTAAGATGTACATATTTTACATAATATCATCTGTACATCTAAATTAAAAATAAATAAATATGATTATTTCTATTATACATTCAAATTAAGGAATTTGTCGTTTAAAAAGCTTTTGTAAGTGTGTTTTTTTTTGTAAACAATTATTATTATTATTTTTATAATAAATCAAAACAAAATGTTATCAAATCACATTTCAAGATTATTTTGATTTACTATGATTCATTTGATAATAAGAATAATTTACACGAAATTGATAATATCTTGTGTTATACATATCTATCATGCTGTTTTCTTATTAATCCCATTTTTGATAATTGAACCGAATTGTAAAGGCTATTAATTTTATTTTTTTTTAATATTTAAGCATTTTAATTAATTGAAAAGTTATTTATCTTTCAGTTATTTATAATACAATTCTTCAAAGTTTATTACTTTTTAATTACATACTTTGACCACTAGTCTAATATTTTTTCATCTTTTTATTTGAAATTTTGTTTATTTATTAAAAACCATCAAACGCAAGTTTTAACAAAGCTACGGCAAGGAAATTTTTCTCTTGAAATCAATACCTAATTTGCGCTTTTGCTTCAAAAACCCAATGGGGAAATATTTTTAATACAATACACTATAATTGCTGAAATCTTATAACATAATTTAATATAATTTTAGTCATTAATTATTATTTCAGAAATTTTATTTTGTTCAATTACTTTCTTATTTTTTTTGTTAATTATGTAGACAATTATTTTATATTGCTGTAAAGTATTTTGAAATTGACAAAATGTGGTTACAGAATCGTGAAGCAATTGATTATATCTATCAACAACATATGCAAGGATTTATGTTATCTTGATACGCAACATCTTATCAAGATATTATTAAAAATAGATTGAATCATCATACTATTCGTACGTCATTGTCAAGTTGTTACTAGAACTGATGACAATTTTTCGTATGAGTAACATCTATTATTTGAAAATTATTATCATCAAATATGAATGATTTAATCCAATAAAACACACTACTTATTGTGCCCGTATTGGTTTAGTGTTTAGGATTAATTCGCAGCAACAAATAATTCATCGTGATGTAGCAGGCGTTTTCATAACCATATAAGGCGATTTTTAAGAAATTTCTTCATTATTATTATTTTATTATTGAATATCTAAATGTTTTATATTTTTTTATCACTTTCATTTACATCAAAATTTTACTAATATTAAAAACAGTACAAACAATACAAAATTCCAAAAATAAATAATCTAATCGATTTTTTAATTTATTATTACGAAATATTTCAATATTTTAGTTTTCGCTTGTACAATTCCTTTTTTTTAATTTTAAGTCTATTTCAGTAAATTAAAGGTACATTTCTCTATATTTAATCTATTCATCATATTAATTTACGTTGTTTTATAATACTTGTAACAATAGCTTTATTTATGTACACAATTGTATTTATGAATTAGTATTATAATTGTATACTTATCTATTTATTTTTTAATTCAAATTATCGTTATGCGTCAATTAATTTTAATTTTGTTGTTATTTCGCTCCGGATTGTTGTTTATTCATTTTTTTTCTACCTCGAACGAAATAAAAATCACAATTGCCAGTGTTCCGACAATACTTTTTTTTGTGTCCCTGTACGTTTCGTTGTCGTTATGCGCTGTAAATGTAACGTCCAATATTTGCTGTTTGCACCGGGAGGGTTATAAAAAGTGCGCGTTTCAATTCTGTAAACAATGGGTGCGCGAATTGATTTATATCAGTCGAATGATAGGTTCAGTTACTAGGGGGGTTGGATATTAATTTAGGCGATTTGTTTTTATGAAATATTATATGCGCAGCAATGGATCGGGGGACACATATTTATACGCAGATACATTGCGGGGGTTGAAATACAAATACATGAAAATAGCTGTCTCCAAGTCATTCCAGCCGCATGTTTATTTATGATTGCGTATCAAATATGATCCACTGTAATCGACACTCTGGTGAATTGCTCACAATTCCAGTTTATTATTTAATAAATGTATGTGATTGATTCTGATTTATGTTTTAGATTTATTCAATTATATAATTATGGCAATAAATTAAGCAACCAAAGCTTAAAACTTGATACAGATCTTTGATTACGATTAATCATACTTTGATTTGCAATACAAGAAGATGAATCATATGTAGTGTAGTAGTGTATACTAAATATGCATGCATCCACTACTGGTAAATGGTCTATTTTCTTTATAGATCTTGTAGAACTGGCTAAGTATTATATAGTTAGTTGATGAATTCCAATACTTATATAAAACGGTAAAATTTAAGTAATTCTAACTATTTATTGAGAATATATAAAATAAATAAAATAGGTCAATACAAAAATATTTATGAGTTCAATACAAGTGTTATCATTCATTTTAATCTAATATATTTCTTAGAAATTTCGATTAAAATCTTTAGATAATATTTATGATCAATTGAAATAAAGCTTATTATTATTTTACTTTATAATAATAAATGGATCTTCTTTATAATAGAAATTCTCATAATAGAAAGTCTAAAATTAATAATAGTAATATCAATTGATATTATTTTATTTTCAAGGTTAATTTGTAAGATTTTTTTTTACAGTAAATAACAGAAATTTTAGCTACAAATTATAGGATAAATTGAAGGTTATTAAATTTTGGAAAATTAATTTAATAAAAATTCACAATATTATTTTTTTCTTTCATCATCATAATATTATTGATGTGCAAAGTTTATTTAATTTAATAACCCATGTTAATGATCGAATTTATGAATGTTTCGTGAAATGAGTCAATTTTTTTTTTAAAGTTGTGTATAAATGTTAATTTTTAAATGTTAGAATGTTAATTAATTATTATGAAATAGTTGATTATAAAAAAGTTGTTTGTTGTTGTCGTATTTCATCGAGCAAAACAACAGTAAAACTCCGGTACAGCCCTTTTTGCGGCACCCCCCTCGGATCCGCTAAAACAATTGAAACATAACTACCGAAAACTTGAGAGCAAGTATCTAGCGGGAAGGCTGTTATAAAGGGATATAATCTAGCGGGTAGTTGGAGTCCTGCTGCGCGGACTGCTGGGATTGCAAGGATTCGTGGAGATGGGGTGTGTGTGTGAGCGCGCGTGGGTGGCGAGGGTGTAAATAACAAACAAGTAGCTAACTGACAGTGTCGCGCTTAGTGCTTGCCGCTATTTGCACAGAGCGTTCGGTTAATTGAAATATATTGTCTGAGCGTTGATTGTTTGCCCCTCCTAACGGGACTCCGATCGCTTTGCATGACGTTTGCAGAGCACTTACAACATTCCCCGGTCCCAGAGTTCGGTGCTTTGATTCATGTTTATGGTTTATAGCAGACCAGACTCATACCAGGACCCAGACCCATCCCCACCGATGCAGACCAGATCCAGCCTCAGAGCAGTGATGCGCCAAGTCACGGGGGGTGTTCGAATGGTTTCCCAAAATTTAGATCCAGATTGTATTCCGCTCGGACTTCCTCTTATTTCGTTATTGAAATGTCAATGATACGTAATAGATTTATTGGTTTTCATCGTGCCTCGGTTTTCGTCCCGCCGCCCCCAAAACACTGAATACTGCCGCCGCCGCCTCCCGCTGTTTGCAAACCAGATTTATGGTACGCCCGACGTTCAACACCCCGCGGAAAATATCTAATTAACTTTAGGGGTGGTTTTCATTTCACGACACTCGAACACAACGAATACATAATTTCATCACCTCAACAACTATATATGATTTTCACACATTGCTTCCTTTTCATTTTCAATTTTATTATTCAAGATTAGAATTAGGCAGTAAATCCCTTTCCTAATTAGTCATTACTTCAATAAATCATATTTTTTTTGTATATTCAAATAATATATAAGCGCAAATGGATATCATCTATTCAGAACTATAAATATTTGAAAAGTATTACAATAATGACTAATGTTCATATTCATAGTTTTTTTGGGTGGATTCGCAGGGTTTATTTACATTCTGAACAGAGTAATAGTCCAACCATTGATTATTTTTTTTATTAATAATAAAAAAATAGCGGAAGAAAAACACTGCTTTATGGGAAATTCATTGGTAGCTAGCAAATTCGTTTGCAATAAATACGGTCGGAGGTTTCCGTGAGCGGACAAACGTTTCCGGTTTTGGTAAAAGTGAAATGCTGGAAACAATAACGCGAGCCAAGGTTTTCGGGGAATCCCCGAACTGTGGCCGAAACATTTTATTATTTATAACGAGGTCGCCGGCAATAACAGAAATTTATAGGTTAATAAATCTGTTTGGTTTGTGCACAGAAAACTGCTGAACCGGCGAGCTACAGCGTCTCGGAGCCATTCAACAAAAACCGCGACCGGAAGTCCCACAACACCGGAAAGGTGCCGTTCCAGAGTACCCAGCCCAGGCAAGGCATCCCCATGACTGGCGCTCGCCTCAATCCCAGTAAGTACGCATTTATTACGACCTGCTTCATCACTGCGTTCCACTCCTTCTCCTCTTTTCCCTCTCACTTTTTCCGCTTTTCCATCCCCTTTAACGTTTCTTCTTTTTTTTACCTCCCTGTGTCTCTCCTCGAAGAAACTCGAGCCTTTTTATGCACCTTTTATACACAAGTTTTACATTGTCTTGCCGCAAGGCGGAAGCATCGAAATGGCTTCACCCGAAGAACAATTCAACTTGATTTTAATTAACTCCAAAGTGCAAACCCGAATTTTAACTTAACAAAAATATATTCTGTTTCCATTACCTGAATGTCTGCATTTTTTTCTTCTTTTAAAATTATATCAGTATTACTTATTATATAATAATTATCCACTGTTCTTTTAGAATAATACTACTTTCTATAGAAGTATATGTGCATACCAGATGCATTATAAAATTTAGCTCTGTTTATCTCTGAATGATAATTTATTACGAATTAACAAAGTATTTATCAAGTATCGCAAAATGAGTAAACTGTGAAAGATAAAACAATATATTTACAGCAGAATTCGTACTAAAAATAATGTCAAAATATATATTTTATACAGATCATTTTCAGATTGGTTCAATTAATAATAGATAGTTTATCAATTGTACAGTATCAATGCATTCGATCGATTATAGTTAAATTTTCATTTCATACGGAATTTTCAATATTAATCATTTATGTGTTTCGAATCAGTAAATTGCCGTGAATATTTGATGTCGCGCTTTACGAATTGTAAATTGTTAAGAATTCCAATTCAAACATAGTTTAAGGTAAATGAATGATGAGGCAATGCATTCTAAATTGTATTGGGAACGAGCCGTATTCTACTTTGAAACGGAATCTGTTTATTAATTATTTACGTCATAGACTTGTACACGTTTCTAACATTACGGGCTTTAGTTTCACTCGTTTTCAATAAATCTTTCCAAGCTATATTATTTAAAATTTCGTTAAATTATAGTGCTAAATTTAATGCATTTTATTTATTATGTAGAATTATAAAGCGAATTTATTGGCACATTAAAAATATTTCGTAGAGTTTGTAACGTTCATCGTTATGTTTGACAAGTTATCTTAACAAGTTTTAATATATTTATATAATGTATACAGCTGAAGAAATAATCTTATATATTTGAAATGTGTTTACTTGTTTCATGCAATTACAGCAACAATTATTGAATATAAATATTATTAACATGCAGTTAATGAAAATGTATTTATATAATATCTGATCTAATCAAATATACTTGACTATATAAATTCTATAAGCTGTACATTTGCCCACAATCAATACTTTACGAAGTATTGATCAAAAGGAATTAATTTGTAAATAATAGAATAACTAACCTATATGTGAAATCTAGAAATTTTCGTTTATCCGCTTTATAAGATATTCAATTTATAATTTCCATATAGTTTTCAATTTTTTTATCAGTATTGTGTATTTTCATATTGTTTGAATTCAAATGAAAGTAAATATTATAGATAATACAAAAAAAAACAATACTTTTAACATTTAGTAAATGCCAAAAAAACCATGAAATGGATCTGGAGTAGAATTCACTTTAGTTTTAGAATATAGCTGTTCATGAGGGTAATTGTGAAATGTTTTAACGCTATTTGTTAAGTATTAAGTATATGTTTCATATCTATGTTTTAAATATATTTTCTATATAAAGTGTAGTAGATTAGTGGTTGAATTAAATGTTAATTTGCCAGCGAACAAAGTTGCTAAGGGATGGTTCGTTATCTCGGTAGCAGCGGTTTTGTTCCACTAATTTAAAACACAAAAGCGGAACCCCCATGCAGGATATCTCAAACCGAGGCAGGCTGAGTGAAAATAATAATAAAAGACGGAATGCGAAAGAAGGAACGAATAAAATGGAGCAGAAAGAGAGGGAGTGAAAGATTTGAAGGAAGTAGTGGAAGGAAGAGAATAAAAGTTACGTGGGGTTGTTTTGTATGGGGGACGATGCGGCTGTGCGGGGGATGAATGTCGCGATTAAAGGCATTTGTATTTCACTTATGTGGATGGTGGGAAGGGGTGGACGCTGCGATAGCCGAAGGATACGGGTTATTGATTGGGTTTGTTTTTTGTTTATTCCGTAGGTCCTGCAAATTATATGGGCCACGTGTCGGTCGACAGCAAGGGGTATTATTTCAATGTGACGCCGAGGTTTGCCGATGAGCCTGAGGATACCCCGGGGCCGGCAAGTTACACGGTACGTCTTTCTGGTTTAGCTGTAATTGCAGTCTGGTCGGCACGTAGAAATAATGAATTTACTATTACGAACGTGCAAAGTTATTAAAGTTGGCCTAGCAGCCAACTTCGACGACGAAAACTTATGCAAGATGACACGTGGCTGAGCGTCTTCGCCTCATTTAGCGACCGTTTCTGCATAGGACCGAACTAAGCACTAAAGTCAACAAACATATTGAGTTGAAGCAAAAGAGGACGAAAGTGCGAGAGCGAATGAGAGAGAGAGAGTGATTGGTTGGATGGGGGTGGACGACAGCGAGAGGGTGAGAAGAGAAACACTAATGCGGTGGTTTTCGTGTGCGGTTTTGCCGAAAACCCTACTGTTATCATTTCGGATGACGTCGGTGGATGTGGATGTTTGTATATGATTTTGCGTACGGCAAACCCATTGTACAAGCTCGTATTGGTTTTCATCCTGTCCTGCAGCAGCAGCCCGTGCCGAGCAGGTATCCCTCTCTTGTCGTTCGGTTTTGCTGCAAGTCAGCAGCTTTTATTTGATCAAAGAATAAAAAGCATCATCCATCGTTCGAGAGTTGCAAATAAACATAACTGTGCTGTTGCATTGCGCGCTCATTATCTTCTCCTACCCATTCATCCATTGCAATAATAATGACAACAAAACGCGAAAAAAAAGGAAACACGGCATCATCAACTTCCAACGCAGTGACAATGCGAAAAATCTGCAACTATTCATATTTAAATATACGCCAAAGCGATAATTAACTCTAGAGGAAATTATTGCAAAAAAAAAGCAAGTAAATAATAATGTTACACTATTAATATGAGCGAGCCGGATTGCCAACTCCTCACAATACTTCAACACTGACAACATAAATAGAACATACAAAGAGATAGAATAGCAATGTGCACGTGGACACTCACTAATAACAAATTATACAGAGTGTCCCACTTTATCAAAAACTAATTTTAATGAAAATTCACATTATTTACTTATATAATACTTAATTTTCAATTATTAGCATTCTTCATAATACTATTAATAATACAAAATTGCAAAGTATTGTTATTTAAAAGTTATATATTCCAAGGCTAGAATAGTGATCTTGTTACATTAGGATCATCCATAACTGAGACTTCCAGCTACTCACTTAAGAGAGACATTAGCATGTGTTTAGACATACATCTACTAATAGACAATTATCGTTATTAACTCATAGCTTGTTATGCTAATCATATTCGTATTTACCTATAATTTCAATATAATTTTACCTGCAACGAGAATATTATTATCATTCTAATGCACATGTGCAATAACACCTCTCATAGTGCAGCTAATCTGAAAACCGCATTAAGACAATTTTGTGCATTAATTAATTTTTATAAAATGTTGTTTGTTTTAAACTAGACTTTAGCGTATCCGGATTGATATGTGAAATTTAATACTGTTTTTAAAAATAACTAGATAATACTGTTCATTTCTTTTTGTTGATTTTTCGTTGAAATTATTGGACATTCTGAAATTAAAAAAGCTGAAGCATTTTTTTTTGTATGCGATATAGCGAAATTTAAAATTAGATTTTTTTTTCTATTCGGTGCTGCGGTTTAACCAATTAAATAGAACGTGAATGCGGAGTGCAGATTTCAAATTAAACGGTTAGTACATTGGCCATTCAATCAAATCCCGCTGTGATTGTTATGCTAATACCAAAACATACATATACCGCACATATTGTTTGTCAAACAGTGTGTATGCCGCTATGATGCATATTCAAATCAATAAATTGGAGTTAGCTCATCACGACGGGAACGACATCGCCAATAAAGCAACTTGAAGAGTGTTTACTCAGAAAGCAATTTCAATAAATTACTGCTGTTCAATTCTGATTTAACATACACCAAGCACACTGACGAGCAAAATACTGCGTGTATTGTTGTGCATTAATCAAAATATTACAAAACATTTGCTGAAAAAAGAAAACAAGATCGCTTACAAAAAATGAATTTTCAATATTTATGCATTTTATTTTAAATATGAACTTTGAAAATAGATAATTATAAAACAATAAACGTTAGTACTAATTAAGAATATTTAATTTGAACATGCGATGATTTTATATAGAATTATACTAATTATGATTTTTTTTAATTTAAATATATGTTGGTTGTATTGTAGAATATAGAATATTTAACGATTTCCCCAGAGAGTTCGGTTACCGCAGATTTAGAACTGCTGATGTAGTAAAATCATTTGATGTTTACGTAAAATACAACAAACTGAAACTATGCATGTAACAATGTGCGTCCATCGAATGTAGTAGTTGATACATCAATTGGAGTGTTTGCCTAAAACCTTTGAACCAAAGCAAATATGGTGTGTATCTACAGTTGGGTTTTTAGAAACATATGCCGCGTTGCATAAATCGTATTACATGGAACGTTTCCAATAATACCTAATTCATCATCGAAACACCAGCAAATTGTACATACGAAACGAAATAAAACTGTTTCTATAATTGCATGGTAATAAGTGCATCACATAATTGGTTTATGATTGACATGCCACAAATATATTAGGAAAAAGTTAACAAGAAGTTTAGTGTAATTGTTATTTATTATTTCATTTGCTGCAGTTACAGGTTTTGTGCGTTATACATATCACATGTATAATGTAAGAAACGGAAAGTAGTTGGAAGTTGTTTGCTGCAACTATAATTTAATCATACAATATACATGACTTTTATTACCACTTACCTGCAGAAGAAATATTCAAGTTACTTTCTTATAGCAATTATGATTTTTTTATTATTACTACTTTACATTTTTTTTTGTAATGTTTATTTAAATCGTAGTTATAACAACATTCAAAACAAATTTATTATAGTTTTTAAAATAAATGCATTGAGATTTTTACCTAACAAATCTAGTTTATATTGTTATTTTATATAATCGTTTTTATTTCTCTAAAGTCAATTTATTTAGTCATTGACTTGTTTGAGAAAATAATTTTATTAAGACAAATTTGAAAATATGAATTATTAAATTATCATTTTTAATAACCTTTCGTCTTTTATATATTTCTTTAGTAATGTAGAACTTATTACATATAAATGATTTTTCTCAGTCTTTCCGTCATATTTCTTCTAGTTTTGTTAGATCTGATTTTTTTCTGAATTTTGCATTCAATTCTTTTTTCGTTTCTGCAATAAATAATATAATAAAATATAATAGAAGTGGTAAAAATATACAAAAAGAAGTTGATTAAAGTAAAAATTGTAAGAACCAATTCTACTATTTTCTATTATTTATGATAGTAAAATATGAGTTCATTTTGTGACACCTTTTATTCCATAATTATTTATTTTATAATTTCAATTAATAATATTAAACAGTTTTAAATGTAGACACGGGTGTGATTATTGATGTGAAAATAATTTTAATAAATATCGATATCATCAAATAGCGTCATATAATTTTTGGAATTCGCATAGTTTCTATAGTGTCCATGCATATTATAATAATAATTAAGTTTGATGTGCAAGTAGGAATGGGATGAGAGAGTGGGATGGATAGAGATGCCCGGGGTTTTGGTGTTAATATCTGCGAGCCTTTATGGACTATTGGTTTAATTGATATGAGTCGATTGATGGAACAGTGTTAATCAGTTAACGACTATGGGCCGATTGTAAACAAGTTAACAGAGCTCATATCCGATCGGACCAAGTATCCAACTTGTCTGATCCCCCCGATCCCAAAACCTTTCGACATCCCTCTCTCTCACACTCACCAACACTCTCGTGTACATACACTCCGACATGGAAGGTAGGAAATTGCTCTAAACCTCCTACACATCGAACAATTTCGCAACAAACAACCCGCAGACAAACAGAACAGCATCATCGTTTATAATGCTCATCGTATATTACGAACCCATTTTAATTATTTCCATACGAATGGGCCATTTATTAGCGATACATAGTTGTACGTTATAAATGCTATAAAAATAAACCAAGCGCTAAATGGTCGTACGAGCATGGACGCATTAATGCAAACTTTATCGTCCTTTTTCCACCGTACACTATAGTTTTTAATTGAATTAAAGTCCGCGTTAATTGAAATCAGCGATGAATCGATTTATTCTCACCTGGGGAATATGAGACGAGCAACATGCCGGTAATATACGATCCGCATTGTCGTAATCCTAAATTGTATTGTAATCAGATACTTGATATCTGCTTACTATCTAATTATAATTACGCTTAACAATTATACCACTCTAATGGCATTCAGACGATAAATTATATAATCTTCGTAATTACAATTATAATTCACTATCACATGACACTTATTTTCTATTTACTTCCATATATATTTAAGTTAAATATACAACAGACAATTCGTACATAATAATAAAATTCAGTAATTTAAATAATACTAATAGTATATTACATTCCTTAAAAATTTCTTTTAAAATATATATAAAAAATGTACCATGTTCAAACACTTATTTAATTCATTTTACATCATCAGTTGCCTAATAAATGAAATAAATTAAGTAAATTACAATCGATAATTATATATTTGTATAAAGAAAACGTTCCGTAAATTACATAAATAATTCGGTTGATAATAACGAAAATGGAAATATGTAAATAATAACAAGAATAAAAGCTATAGTTGAACTATTTTAGAGTTTTCCCAGACATAATCTCTTTTTTTCATATATCCGAGGAAGTCTGGAGGATTTTGATCGCTGTTCGATTAAACAATATTTTTTTTTCTTTATTGCTTGAACTGTAATTTTTAAAACACGGACAAAACCTAGACAATTTTCGATTTATTATATGTGAATAGTATAAACGATTCATTCAAATAATACAAATTTACTGTCATATATAAAAAAATAATGAATAATCAACATACCATATGAAAGTAATTAGATGTATAATTAAAAATTAACATAACGACAAGAAGAAAAATGATACAAATATAACATTTGCTTCT